CGGGGAATTGTTGCCGGTTGTTATGAAATTAGTCGAACGCGAGGCGTGATAGCACAGCTTAGAATCACAACACGGTGTACGGTAACGTTGACGCGTTTCGTTTCCGGTGTACGTATTCACCGCCTCCTATATTCTCGGGCGTCGGCGAGCTAGCATCCTGGATTCGTCAGACCACACGCATCTGCACGATTATGCGCGATCGTGCTAGTTTCAGGGAAATCGGAGCCGCTTAGACCCAGCGGCGACGAGAAAACTCGCGGAACCATCGATGCCACAGGTCCAACGATTTCAATCGCGGGAAATCTGTCGTTTCCGCTTCGAAGCTCGACCAGGATCGATCCACGTCTTCCGAGCTCGATAATTAGCCAGAGATCAGGCACGAGGAATATCGACGAGAATCTCGAAGATGAGTAATCGAAAGATGTCGGCCGGAGGAAAGTGTCGACGAAAGGGATTCGATCGGGATGGAACCTGCTGTATCAGGACGATAACTATCGTCGGGAAGAGTATTTATACCTTTCCAAAAATCCCTTTGAAATCCTAAACGTCCTCGTTATATAGTTGTTGCCAAAATCTTATTGTTATTGGGTTGGCAACTAAGTAATTGCCGATTTCAGTTATAGATGTCTCTTACTCCCATTTTTATGATATCCGTAAATGTTATATTATAAAATTATTATTGTTATTATTATTATTATGTTATTTTTTATTATCCGCGAATGTTAGCAACTGGACAAATTGAATGCAGCGGTCAAGGAAAAGCGACCAGAATTGGTCAATCGTAAAGGTGTCATTTTCCACCAGGACAATGCTAGGCCGCCCACGTCTTTGTCCACTCGGCAAAAATTGATGGATATTGGTTGGGAATTGATGTTACACCCACCATATAGCCCCGATCTCGCGCCATCGGATTACCACTTATTTCGATCCCTGGACAACTCCCTTCGTGGTAAAACTTTTAACGATGATGACGCTGTAAAATCTCACTTAACTCAGTTTTTGGCCGAAAAGGATCAGACTTTCTACGTGCGTGGAATTTTCAAGTTGTCGGAGAGATGGCAAAAGGTCATCGAACAAAATGGATAATACAT